CAAGTACAGCGAGAAAAATCATCAATAAACAAAACATAGTAGCAATGACCACCTTTCGGATCAAAGGGAGCAGGACCCCAGACATCAGAATGAACTAAGTCAAAAGGACGCTGAGATACAGACTCACTAGTAGGATAAGGTAACTGAGTCTGTTTGCCAAGTCTGCAACCATTACAATGCAAGGAGACATCTCCAGATACAGACCCCAAGAGGCCCCGACGAACTAAAGAAGACAAACGAGAGCCACAGAGGTGACCAAGACGATGATGCCACTGCTGGAAGGACGCAGACGAAGAGGCAGCAAGAGCATGGGAGTTGGCAGAAGTGGTGGCAGCGGAAGGAACACAAAGCCAATCAACCTCCCAAAGACCCTCTGACTCACGGCGTCGGGGGCCAGCACCAACCAAAGCCTTGGTGCGACGATCCTGAATGGAGCAAGAGTCGGTATCAAGAATGACACGACAACCAGAATCAGTGAGTTGGGCAGCGGAAAAAAGATTCATGGTAAGGCGAGGAACATGTGAAACACTAGGAACAGAAAAGGATGGAGTGGAAAGAAGACCACGACTAGCAACAGGAAGAGGTGTGCCATCGGCGGTAAGAACATTAACAGGTGAATCGAGAGGTCAGAGGGAAGACAGCACAGAAGAATCAGAAGACATATGGAAGGAGGCTCCGGAATCCAGAACCCACGAAGATGTACCTGACTGTGTAGAGGCATGCGGTGGTGGAGAAGTGGATGCAGTCACAGCAGCAGCTGAACCAGTCGACGAGGAGCCGGAGGAGGCAAGTAGACGCTTGAGGCGTACAATGTCCTGGTCAGTGAGTGACGGAGTCGAGGATGACGCTGGAGTGCCACTGGAAGAGGAGCACCTCTAGTCTCGCTTCTTCTGGCGACAGTCAGACTCTGGGTGACCTGACCGAGAGCAATAACCACAGAAGGTGTCACGGCGCGACGTACTCTTCTCAGCATATGGAGAGCGAGTCACCCCCCCTGAAGGAGTAGGCAGAAGTGGTGGAGCGGTGAGGCGAGCAGAGGACACAGGAGCTCGGGCGGCCAACACTGAAGGAACCACAAGTAACCCTGCAGAGCGAAGACGGGTCTCCTCGGTACGAAGCTCGGCAAGCACCTCTGAGATAGGAACACGACCACGAGCAAGCAGGTGAGCACGACGAGGCTCAAACTCAGATTGGAGGCGAGATAAGAACTCATGAACCCTCTGAAACTCCAAGTCAGACCGCGTAGTCTGATAGCAACGGCAAGTGCCACAAACAACTGTCCGCAGTGAGTCAAGCTGACGCCAGATGGCAGAGCACTGCGAGTAGAACTCATCCACAGACGAGTCACCCTGCTGAAGAGCATGCTCCTGACGCACCACAGAAAGGTAGAGGGCATCACCAGAGGGCTGATAGCGCTGACAAAGATAGGACCACATTGCTGCAACAGTGCTGAGGCCCATGAACTCCGAAGCAAACTGAGGGAGGACACTCGCAGTGAGAACGGCAGCAACTCGAGCATCATCATTGCACCACTGAGTGTAAGCAGACAGAGCATCCCGGTAGACAGAAAGAGCATCAGAATATGCTGACACCTGCTGATCATAAGCATCAACTGCAGCATCATCTAGAGCCTTGGCGGCATCCCGGTCAGCCTGAGAAGCATCAGCAGCAAGGGCTGGCGGCACCGGTGGGATTGGGACCACTGGCGCAACAGGGCATGGCGGGCAGGGGACCTCGCCAGAAAGAACTCCCCGCAGAAGGAGTCCACGCATATGGATGCGCATGAAGCCCACAAACTCGGCATAGTTGGTGCCATCGAAGATCACCGAGCACCGAGGAACCGCGACATAGCCTGAAGAGGACATGAGGAAGTCACTCTGCTGTTGTTGCTCTTTTTGTTTTGAGTCAACACAGAGGGGATCGAGCAGAACACGCTCGAAGCAGAAGCGGATCGAACGCAGCCGACCGAGTGGTGGCCGGCCAGAGAGGGGTTTGGGCCGGCGCGAGCCAAGGGAGCTGGAGGAGCGCCCTGGGAGCTGAGGAGCACCCTCCTTCGACCAGATCCACCTGCCCCGACCGGATCAGGCAGAGGAGGCAGAGGATCCCACCCGGATCCCGCTCGCTCGCCCACGCGGCAAGGAGGGGCGGGGGAGGCGCTCGAATCCCGCTCAGAGCTCGCCCACGCAGCGCGGAAAGGGGGGGAGGGCGCTCAAGCGGG